CACCACCTGGCCACAGTGGCTGCACACCACCAGGTAGAAGTCATCATGGCCCGGGTAAAGGCCAAAGATGGACATGTCTGGAATTCAGGAAGAACAAGAAGAGAACGGCATGCTTTATGCAATCAAGCATGATTTGTTGAAATAATCTTCAACTAATTCACTAATCGATTAATCGTTAACTGGAGTATACAGGTCACACACTCAGACCTGTGGTTAAGTCAAAACTGTACAAAAATATATAAACAATAAATTAAAATAAAAGTGTGTAAATTCGGTTCTACTCAGAACTCCTCAAGTGGAAGTTTGAGCTTTACCTGGTTAAATTTCTACAAAATAAATAAACAAATAAATAAGTCTCCCATTAAGCATTAAGCTGCCTTAAGTATCTAATCCAAAATATAATCATCAGAAAAGTTCAGCAGAAGGAGCTGAACTTCTCTAATGTTAGAATGATTTTTTTTTAGCTGCAGATTCTTACTTTGCTACAAATGATCAAGTGTTCACTAAAGGAATGCTGTTGATGCATTTTAGTCAATTAAACATTTATTTTCCAATTTAAAAAAAGGAATTTCAGCATTTGTCAGTTGGCATTTTTTAATGCATTTCTAATATTGTGTAAAAAGAAAAGCGTCTAAGTGATTCAATACAAAAATCTGCATAATCCGACAAATGTTTACATTATATTGATCGGTTAATCGTCAGAGAAATCAATAGATTAATTAAAACTGCTTTACATTGTAATAATCAGAATTTATTTTGAATCGTAAGTCATCTGAATCTCTCCATACGTTTATATATTTTCATAAAGAAACTGAATTGGTCTGTTTTGCAAACTGTCTTAAATTATGAAATATTATGGTTCAAATAGACTCAACTGAACTGTGCGAAAGAAGCTTCAATAGGCCAGTTAGAGATAGCGAGTGTGTCTGGTAGATGTTGTTCTCACACTGTGTTCTGCAGTTCCCTTGTTCCACTTCCTGTCTGCGTGTCGGCCTAATTAAAAAGTTTATGACGTTGAGACTCAAGTTACGAGCAGATCCATTTCCAAAAGCATTAGACCTCACTTTCTGCTAAAGTTTGACTACTGCCATGAGAAAAAGTTTTAGCAGGACTTCGCGCTGCATCAAAAGGTAAACGCTGACTCTCAGTCTGATCTGCATTTACTGAAACACGGCATGTGGTTCATCTCTTTCACCAGGAGCAATATCTGTATCGTCACCAAAAATAAATAAATCAATCAAACTTACCAGTTATTTATAAAGTCAATATCACCCAAAAGTCATTTCATAAAGTCTACTACACAAAGTGTAATTTTAGTGATTCATAATTTCATATCTTAAACACCACCACCTCTCTAAACAGCTTATTAAAATATTTCTTTGATCAATTTAACCAAGTCAGCTCAGGCCCCCGGAAACAAAATGGCGGCCACCCACGAGTGAACACTGAAACTCTCGCCTATAAAGGAAGTAGTAGCAGGTAGTGGACCACAGAGGACAGAACCAACAAGTCACAGGCGACTCAGTTTGATTGCTTTTGTACCTGAATAAAAAAAACATACAACATCTGTTTCACAAAGATGCTTTTGGCATAAAAACTGAGATCAGGTGCAGGACTACAACAAGGTCACTTTTACATTTGAGACAGAGAAAGTGCAGCAGAGAGGATTGTCTTTAACTAATAAAACTTACCCCTTTGCATAACTGATGGTAATTTCAGTTTTTTTGTCAGTCGAGTCCAATTTTGCCGTTTTGACCCGATTCTGATTCAGTGACTAAAACACAAAGTAAGACGAGGCGCATCAAACTTTGTGCTGTTGATTCATGCGTTTATCGACAGAAAATTGATGAATATAAAGAACAGAAGGAAAAACCAAATCTGAGGTTTTTTTAGTATTGGGTCTTCAGATCTCCAATCAGAGCTGATCAAAAGAAAACAGAGGATAATAATATCTGGCAGATTAAACGGTGCACATGCAGCACATCCAGCTGGGATCACGGAAGCGATGACATCTGACTCAAGGCTGATGCAATGCAACCCTCCTGCAGGATCCTCAAACGCACTCAGTACTGCTAATACAAGCAAAGGTGTCGTGTAGCATCCTCAGCACCGCACACTCCTGGACCAAATTCTGCTGATTTCTCGCGTCACGCATATGCTGTGGATCTGCCATCCTGTCAGCTTATACATCCCGAATGGATATATAATCTGAAGGGGTTCGAGTCACTTTCTCAGACACTTCTGAAGGTTTGTAAAGTCACATGCAAACTTGACTAAAATGACTTACCCTCTTTGCTGAGCGACATAGCTTCTGCAGCCTTCTTCCCATTTTTGCTGCAGTTGTCCGCATCAGGCCCTGAAAACATACATGTTCAGCTTTAGAGAGACATCCTTATGGAGTGTTGCACAAATGATGGGATTGCAGGTCAGCAGCTTCTCTCCTTTGGCTGCTACAGTTCTGTGGAGACTTTTCTGTGTGTTTTGTTTGTTTCATTGCAACAGCTGGGACTTTGCCACACAGCCACCTCGGCAGCAGAGGCGATACAGCGATCCGAGTTTAGCGCACATACTTCAAACTGACAAAGGCAGGAGGGTTTTCTGTCCATCAGTGACAGGTGACATGGGCACAGCTGCAGCCGCAAGGCTGGAAATATTAGCACAAGGCAATGAGAACACTGAGTAACGTTTGCTAATATCACAGACTGGGCCAGTATTTCCATGGTGGCAGCAGCGTCAGACTCCTCCTCCGTCACCGGTGTCTGCTCTGATCCTCCGGCTAGCGTTAGCATCTCAGACTAACCCCCTCACAGCGGCGGACCGGGCTAGCTTAGCTTCCCAGGGTGAGAAGTTGCTCGCCCAGCCAGTCGGACTAGCCTCCTTCCGCTATGCTGCCACCACTGCCTGACGGCTAACCTCGAGCCGAACCGTGTTCCTAAAGCACTGGCAGCTTCCTCCATGGCCGCAGCAACAGCACACCCATCACAGCGCCCGTGACTTCATTTTTAATATGGGTTTATCATCTTGTAGGCTGTGCATGTAGAAGGAGGCAGAGGGGAGCAACATGTTATCCACCCAGCACTAGGACCCGGCAGGGTCTTTGTTTGGGTAACATTAGTTCTACCATCCGTTTTGGTGAAAAATAATCGCGGAGGGATGGCTGACCGGCTCCGCGGCTGCTAATGTTTGTGTCAGGATGGTTCCTTACCATCTGCCGCTATCACACTAGCCCAGTCGGCCCAGGCAGTCCAGCTTTGACCAACGAATTCATCGAGGCTAGGTACCCGCCGATCCAGAGCAGCCATTACTTTTACTGCGCGTTCACGCACCGCCATCATCGCTGCGCGGGCAAGCCGCTTACGTCATGTCTCGCGTTCTCGAACTTCCTGCGTGCGCGCTCTGAAGTGACGTCGATGTTCAAGGTGTTTTTTTTTTTTTTTGCCCCCACTCCTCCCCCCCTCAACCTCTAACCTTCCTGATGTCGTTCGCAAAGTGTTGACGCATTTCGACATTAATACGTAGGTCCACGCATTCCTAAAAGTGTGAACGATGAGAAACATATTTTTTATTGACCAGTTTACCATAAACTATCCAAGGCCCCTTGATTCTGGGTTTATGAAGAAGTTTAGATTAAAAATGTCCAAAAATCCCAATGAAACCATTGCAAATTGAATAAACCACAAGTAGTCAGTTGGCTAAAAATGTTAAATATTTGAAGAAGAAAAAAGGCAGGGAACAGGAAATGTATGGGTTTTTTTAAAATTGTGATAAGAAGCCTCCATCTCCCCCTCACATGACATTAGGCACACCTTCCTGTTTCTTTTAGGTCATGAAGGTTCTTGGTAATGCAGTTTATGATGAGAGGAGCAACTGGGAATGTCATCAATAAGCTCCCAATCGACTAACTGTTCTGTGAATATCAATGTTGAGCTTGACCACAATGATCTCCTGCAGAGGTTTAATGAAGACACAGATTAAAAGAAACCACATTAATCCAGTAAAAAGACTTTTTAAATCAGAAAATGTCTGATTTAAAAAGTCGCTTATTTTCTCCAGAACATTGGCTGTCCGCCACAACTCGCGTCTGTGTGGTTGCTGCTGGCGCTCATCACTCAGAATTCTGACTTGTTTTTTTCTGTGCCACTGATTTTATTTTTCTTCTTTTTTAACCTTTTCTGAGCCACTGAAAAAAAAAATTTGACATTTTTTTCCCCCCCAGTGGCCCTAATCCTCTTCCGTTCTGAACAGGTTCTGTGTGTAAGAGTTTATTTTTCAAATTCCAGGATCAGGTTAAGGCAAGACTATTAGTATAACTTCTGGAAAAATCCAAGCAAATAATCATGCTCCAGTCGTATTTAATAATAATAAAGTGATATATGTTAATTTGTTGTAAAATAGCCTTGCTGTTGATAAAATCAAATTAAGGGGAGGGGAGGAAATGTGGGAAACAGTTCAGACTGTGACAGCTGGAGTATTTAAGTTGCCTCTAAATTTTACCTGGTTAAAATAACCGCCTGTAACCGGAGAAGCCTGTCTAAGTTTAGAGCACATTTGATGTAGTGTAGAAACTACACTCTGGGTAAGAGTGCTGCGCTGATAGATGTGAGTCCAAAAAAGCTTCACTCATAGAATCTAACTACCATACTAATTTCACTGTATTTTATCACAGGTAAAGAGGGCAATTTAATTGAAATTTAACAATAAAAATATACCTTGTTTTACTCAGCAAAGATTTCCTGCTTTATGTTTCAAATTCAAATGTACTTTATTTACCCCCAAAAGGGTAAATAATGCCTTGTTGCTTGAAAAATGTTGCTACATCCCAGTAATACTTTTTAACCAAGTGTCAGATGCTTCAGTCGCTGCCTGTAACAGTAACTTTGCTCCTGACCCAGGCCCTGTGGTGCCGACTTTATATACTTGCATCCTGTTCACATGTCCAGCACTGATCTACCAAATCAAACCAGTTTATGTAGAAAAAAAGAAAGAAAGAAAGGAGACAGTTCAGTTGCGCAGCTCTTGTATTTGAGTCAATACAGAAAAACAAGTGCTTCCTTCCGCACAAATGAGGCATAAAAACATTCCGTTTCATTGTCAATAATCCAATAGACAAACATACAATATATCATTATGTCTGACTAAATCTTTAAAACTGATGCTGAGGGTTTAAATCAATAATTTTCAATGTGACATACTGCCCTTGGTAGTGTTTAAAACATGTCAACCAATGTTCCCTCCACACAGGTACATTCATTCCTGGTACAATGCAAGAATCTATTCTGTCAAGAGTCAGAAACCAAAAAAATTCTCCATGGCTGAGCCTGTCTGGTTACAAACATTTTACAGTTCATTTAAAGGGAGACTGACCTTTGCCTGTCAAGCATGTTTGGGATTTTAAATCTGACAATTAGACTAAACATACCTAGCTGAGGACTAAAACTGGACAAAAAAAAAAAAAAAAAGGGAGAAGGAAATAAAAGTAGTCACAGAGAAGCTGCCTATGGAACTTTTTTTCTTCAGCGAAAATAGAAAGAAAACTTAAAAAAAAGCAGCAAACTGATTAGTGTTGACAAAAATTCACATGAACTGCATATAAATAATATTACAGTAAGGCACATTTTGGTTCAAATGAAGATGACTCTTAGTGTTACTGAACAGGTTCAACATTACATTACAGGAAATAAACCCAGTTTGCCTGAAGCTTCACCTCCACTGTGAGCTCATGGAAACCAGTCCAGTTTCCTGGATCTGGAGTTCAACAGAAAACAAACAGTAAAAACACAAAATTGTTCCAAAGACACTTTAGTTTGCTTTCGAGGCTGAAATAAAAAATAAAGAACTTTAAGATAAAACATACACCTGTTGTTCTAAAAAAAAAAAAAACATACAAAAAAAAAAAAGAAGAAAAAAAAGACACATACAAAAATAGCCAAAGATTTTTTTTAGTGTCTCAGCAGTTTAGAGTATTGGTTGTCTGGTTTTGTCAGCTTTACCGAAATCCATAAAGTTGCATATTTCAACCAAATCGAACCAACTGGAAGTTCCAGGTTATACAGTGTGAAAGCATTTAAAATTTGAGTCTGCACTTAGTGTTTTTAACGACTTGACATCAAGAGCTGTTTGGAGAGAAATCAAACAACATGGTAGGGCTGAACAGAAAATAAATGGCGATCGGCCTTCCTTTGTTTCCCCTTTCAGCAGGCTAACATAAGAGCCGGTTGGAGCTTAAGGCTACTGAGGATGGGGTAACGGCCCTCGGGCGCCGCCTTCCTCCATCGTGGCTGCTTGGCTGGGGTCTTTGTGGAGATGGGTCTCCTTGTAAATAAACCAGCAGTTTCCTGTCCACAGGATCAAGTTAAGAAAGCCAAAAATCTAGAAAACATAACAAATGAGTTTAATAATTTGTTTGTCATTTAAAACCATATTTGCTTGATTTGTTTGTTTATATCAAGTATTCATAACTAACACAAATTCTTTGGTTTTATACAAAAAAATACAACAATCACTTCAAATCGATAAGATTGTGATTATCTTGTACTATTTATGTCGATACTAGATTTATGATGTAAACAGGTGTATGTAAAGTTGTTATAATTGTCTTCTTTTTTTTAGTTTGTTGGCAAGCTAATTAGTGTGCATTACTGCCACCTACTGGTTAAGAGTGCAGATCAAAATGGCAGAATTGCTCAAATATGCTTAAAAATGATTTGAAAATTCCATTAATTATCTCAGTTTCCACAAAAAAAAGGAGAATTATTTACATTTACATACACTTTACTTCAGTTTTAATAAAGTAAAAGAATTTAGATCTGTAGCCTGACCTGAAACCCGGGATAAAACCATTTGCCTGCTGGTGGGTTGGGCTACTGTGGTGCTTTGAATAAGCCTGCAGTACATACACAGAGGTATGTACTGCAGGCCGATCAAGTTGTGTTCATGTACTTATTATAATTTAAATAGAGTACATGGCTTACCTTGTTGAGTAAGGAAATACATTAAAGTACAACTGTCCATCAGACTAACAAACACACACTAATATGCACTCAGAATAAAAACTAAGTATCATCATTTTACAAATTGGTTAAAAGTAGATGACAGGATTTTATTTTTTTTTTTTGACGATGGTCAAAATGATGGACAACAAAAAAGTCAAGCGCAACCTTTGCGCCAAACTACAGACATTTTTGCCTCCTCCCACCGTCTCACTTTTCACTTCTTCTGTTTTTTTTTTGTTTTTTTTCCTTTTTTTTTTCTTCTTATTTTGGAGAATCGGCAAATAGCTTGCTGGTGCAAAACCACAACAATGTGGTATGAAGTGTGGTTTAGACTTTGCGTAGCACCTTAGTGGAGAACAGTGGTATCAGTTTGGAGTATCGAAGTGCTTTTATGAGGACAAGCACTTGACTGGTATTGGCATCAGGACAATAACAGTCCTGAAGCCAATGCTATCAGGACTGGTATTTAAAGCAATATTGAATCGAATTGTGACCCAAATAATTTAAATCAAATTTGATTGTGAGGTTCTTAACGATACCAAGCCCTCCTATATTAATCTAAACCACTGTCTCAAATCTCACTATAGAATATCTCAATATCTTACTGAAGCTTCCAGGAAATACAGGGAGGGACACGAAAGGCATTTTTTATATTCACAACAGTAATAGGTTTATGACGCTTGAGAAACTGGTCACACCCATTGGAAGGGAGGACATTCACACATCAACAGTGTGAACAGATGTGATTGGAACATCTAATCATAACTGAGTCGGATGGGCAGCACAATGCAGATACCAGAGTTTAAATGAATGCCACTACCACAGTTCTGTGTTCATTTTGGCAGCAGAGATCTATACGCATTATGAAGCAGGTTTTACACCAATGAATCGTTAGCCTCTAAATGTTTCACAGTGGTTATGCTCCCAACTGAACATGTTTTAAGTTATGTCTTCCCACCTGGCTGTGTTCTGGGGTAGAATGGTTCTCACTATGACTTCAGTGAAAGACCCAGTAAAGATCAACTTGACTGAAGGAGAGCTTGGGATACTAGCAATTAGATGACTCGGTTCAAACTTGGGTTTAAAGTTCTAACATAAATTCTGCAGTGTCTGTCGTACTGCAGTAACAAATACCTGAAAGCCTACCAGAACTACGAGGGTTTCCAACTTCTTTTACTTGTTAAGAAATCTGAACGATAGACGTTAAAGGATCCTGCACTAACTAACTTCATCAAAACTTACCACTGAAGCATTCAGGCGACCCATGGACGGATACTCTCCGGGTTGACAATCTTTATATGTCGACGCTACGTTGTTGGGGTTGGTGGCCCACTTGACATCAGTCAGGCCTTTGCCCCAAGCTGAGGAGGACACGAGCCACAGGAAGGCAAAGAGGACAGTCACCACCAGGTCCTTGCAGAAAGAACAAGTCAAGCTCAGCATGTTTTGCATTCATATAAGCATACAAACCAGTGTGCAATCAGGGTAGGTAAATGAGACACTGTCGACTCATTTGCAAAAAAGTAATTTCAACTTCTATTCAGAAAATAATTTCTTTAGACAGCATGGGCATTAAAATAGCTTATTTATCTGAATATGTGCTGAAAATCAACTAAAATATACATCAAAAAGCAGTCTGTTGTGCTGCTTTATGCTAACTTGGGTTTTTAACTCCAAGTAAAGCCTGGTGGCCCACCAGGCTTATAATACATTGGAGCGAACCCTGCGTCATATGCATTAAGAGCAACAATGAATGGTTTAGTAAAAATATCTGCATCAGAGAATAATGATTTGGACAGAAAGTACAATTCAGCAATAGGGACTGGATTGGATATCATGACTGCTGAGACCAGGATGTGTCCTTACAATGATGGGGCCGCGGCTGGTCTGACGGTAGACACTCTGGTAGCCCAAGTAGAGGATCAGAGTAGCGGTGCAGTAAAGGAACCCAAACACACCAACGCAGACATAGAACTCTGCAGAGGGGGAGAAGTCACCCTGGAGGTGGCTGATGATCGGAGTGCCATTACAAGAAATGTCAAATGAATGGGCTCCCAATCTGATGGTAAAAAGAAGAGAGAGAGAAATCTTTAACCTGAAGCTGTGACTGAAGTTGTTTTAATGGTCCAAATACGTTCTTACCTCCGTTAGTGGACTTTCCATGGAGAGCAACAAGAGAGAAACAATTATGTGAACTTTGAAAGAATTTTACAAAAATTCCACCGGACCATTTATGCAGCCAACAAGTTTGCTTGTATTTAAAGCAGTCAGTGCATTCAGGCATCCTGTACTAGATCAGAGTACCAAAAATTGTACTCAAGTACAAATAATTCTACTTCAATACATTTTTACTCAAGTAAAAGTTCAAAAGTAGCCATCCAAGAAATTACTCAAATGAGAGTAAAACGGTATTGGTATAAAAGCTACTCAAATTCTGAGTAACTGGTTAAAACATAAATTACTTAATATCTAAAAATCATATTAGGGATGCTCCAATCAAGTTTTTTTGCTGCCGATTCTGATTCCCATGAGGGAATCAGAGTTTTGGAGCGAAATCAGAGTTGTTTTTTTCTCCGAACAATTTTTGCGGCGCTAGTGGGTCGTATTTTCGACAGTAGGCAGACAGGAAAGAGGGCGAGGAGAGGGGGGAAGACATGTTGCAAAGGTCGCCGGGATCGGGAGTCGAACCCGCGACATCCACGTCGAGGACTGAGGGCTTCAAATGTGGGGCATGCTAACCTCTGCACCACCACAGCACGCACCCAATTAGTTTATGTAGCTCCTGAGGAGGTAGCTCCTCAGCAGTAGCAATGAATGTTTTGGGTCACTGCCATGATGGACAACAAAGTAATAGCCCAGACCCAGAACATACTGACTGCTTTAAGTTGTCTTTCAGAATCTTCTTGTGCTCTTTTGTCATGATTCCTTCCACCACCATAAGATTCCCAGTTCCAGACTCACTCAAGTCTCCATGTTTTCCTGACGGGACAGTGTGGTTTGGGTTTTGCTCCTCTGACCGTAGAAACAATGTCTACGGGCAAAGAGCTCCCATTTCGAATCATCTGAGCAGAGGATATGCTTCCACCATATTCTCTACAAGTTGTCCTTAGCATAGGACACAGACCGGCATTAAACCAGCTTACTTTGATCAGAAAAATCAGACAACTTTAGGTCCAGCAAGAACGTGAATTTTTAGTTTAGCATGTGTCAATGTTGTGTGATCATTTGCAAAATGCTGTAGCATAGATGATTATTATAGGAAACACTAGTTCTCTCCAATACCTGAACGGGTAGCCGAACACAGCTGTGACATCATGTTTACCCAATGGCGGTTCACAGGGGACTTTTATGGTGGTTTTTCCAGAGTAACCTCCGGTGGTGGCGAACGCAAAGATAGCAAAAACCTAGAAAAACAGAAAAAAGAAAAGAAAGAAAACTAAAATATTCTGCTTAAAAAGAAATCAAACATAATGTGACACAAAGAACAATGTGTAACTGTTGCTGAACACAACAGCCTTTAAGAGTTTTTGTATCATACAGATCTCACGATACTTCTCTTATTTGATCAATAAAAAACACATTTTTTTTTCTTCCAATCTTGTGTTCGAGCTTCCAGGGAGAATAATCACCCTGCTGCCATCACATCATTCTTCCACTCATTTTATTTAATCAAGTCAACAGCAACACAAGCCCAGACTGGACCGGCATCACCATCTGGTATGATGTCACAGGTTTATTTGAGTCTAAATGGGGGGCTTTTACAATACTTTGCAATAAAAACAGATACAGTGTTTATCCATATTTATCTGCATTTGACAATCATATAGGGCATCATGGAGAAGCCATTTTCATGAGGGGAAAAAAAGACAGAACTCCTACATTAGCACTCTACTTTTATTTAATCAATACTGACCTATGGCAAGGCTATGAAACTGCTAGGACTGTTCCTGCAGCCCTAGCAGTTTCTAATCACAAGAAAACAACAATTCAAAGTCATCTTATTTTCAATACTACAAAATAAATTAATTTACTGTCAAAAAGTGTGTGGTACATTTTCCTCTACACTCACCCCAGGTAACCCTACTGATCCTCAGGATGGAGAATTGAATCACAATCTATGACTCAGAAAGCCTTTGAGAAACAGCATTTTAAAATGTGTTCATTTTTCATAGCGGATCAAACCGACGTTATGAAATTGGACTGAACTTGCATCCGATTCGTGGGAGGTGGGACGACTCTGAAGAGTGGAAAAACCAAAGCCAGAAGAACAGGGTGGGGTTGTTCGGGGGGTAAGCTGATATTGCCGAGTATGCTGACACAGACGGACACAAGCAGGAAGAGGAGGAAGAATGGGGCTAAGCAAAAGCACTTCCTTTAACCTGTGACAAAAACTGATTGTACAGTACAGTGTGAAGCTGGTCTGAGCTTAAACAGCAGGGCTGGTACAGTGTAGAGTCTCCTTGTCAAAACGAAAACTAATTCAAAAGTAACTTCTCAGCAAGACATAGAAGCTCGATTTAAATAAACCTTGACACTGATGAAAAAAGTACTAGCTCCACTGGCAGGTTATTTCACTTATAACATGGGAAATTGTCTTGTTATAAGTAAATTTATCTGAAAATGGAGCTAGTATGTTTTAGTCAATATTAAGAAATTATTGACTTAAAACAAGCTTACTTGTAAGTTAGTTTTGTCCTTTTTTCAACTGCACTAAGATATTTGCACTAGGAACATTTATTTGGGTTTGATTGTTGTAATGTCAAGAACTTAACCTTATATTTCATAAACTGGGATATTGGAATGTGCACATTCATCTTGAGCAACAGTTTACAATCTGATACCATCCCTGCAGTGAAAACCTTCCAATAAGGATGTTATTCTGTTATCTTCATGTTCTCCTAGAGAATAATAGCGTTTGTTTAACTACACCTACCAAAGCCAACATCTGAAATTCCATGGAGATGTTCCAACTTCACTTGGACAACTTAGGCAAACAAAGACTCAAATAAAATAATATGATAGATGGTACCTAATATAAATGGTGCATAAATTTGTAAGATTTATATTTATCTCCATAACATTTCCAGCTTTCATCTCAGCCGGTGTTTGGCCCACCTTGCAGCCTCTATCGGGGTTATGCAGAGGGGGAACCCCCTGTGTCCACTTTCAGGTTTCCAAAGCCCAACACATTCCAACACATTTCCTGGTCAGGGAGTGGCAGCATAAATAGGACAGAGCAGCCAGTCACGAGGCTGTAAGGCGAGTTCTATAGTATTTTATACAACAACCTATATTTATAAAGAACACATCATGGGGATGTGGCAACAGAAAGCAAAAATAACCAGAACACTGGATGCCTGACGGGATAAACACTCCTGCTACTGGCTAATGTCCATTCTTGAAGGCTGTAGCACAGATAGTGACTATCTGGTAGTTTGGACACGATACGAAGAGGTCCAAAATGTGCTTTAAAACTGTACATTGAAACACTCTTAACCCTAAAGACTTGATCAACGGAAGCTGACATGCAGCAAACCTAACCTGAGAAATGAAGGTGACAAAGGTCAAAAATCAAAGAGATACAAACGTTTGGTTTCTTGGCCTGGAAAGAATATCTTATCTCAGGGACAACAAGACCTGGGTCAGTCTTTCTTGAAAAACGCTTTCCGTGAGAGCATTTTCACTAGTTGTTTTTGATCCTACTCACTATGAAAATATAATAAAAGGAAAAAGAAGTGCAGTTTTTAACCAACACTGTCCAATTTAAGAAGTTAAATTTAGCTGTGATACTTTTACATTAGAACAGTTTTTATCTCCCTAAACATAATTATTTAACATTCAAGTGTTGATAGGTTTATTTTCATTACAGTGTATTTGTAGTGTCCTTTTGACATTTTCACTTTCCTAGTGGTACAACCATATTCCTAGATTTAGTTTTCTTTTGTTTAAGTAAACAGTGTTAAGTCACAGCAAAGGTCATTTCAGGCAGCTACTTTAGAAAAAATTTCTACCGGCATCAAAGGACTACATTAATTTAATTAGTCATTCTGAAAAACCACAGAAAGAAAAAGTGGTGCAGTGGAAATCATGCCCTTTGTCTTGTCATAAAAAATAAAAAGAGGAATAAATGAAAATAGTCATTCTCTTGCATAGAAATTACAAACTTTTCAACGACAAACTTTGCTCCAAATATCACATTAATAAACTTTCCATCATCCTTTGATCCGTATCTAGCTGTGATAAACCGTCTTTATTCTCTGCTGTTCTCTGGCGTTGCCAGGTTTATGGTACTGTGTAGACGATGTCAGTGGAAAAACGCATAAAAGTTAATTACAACTGCTGTGATCAGAAAGACACTGTGCACATTTCATTTTCACTGGAGGTGTGCAGGAAGAAAGCATGAAGATCAGACTGAACACTGATAAGGACCAGGAGTTTAGAAAGGACTCAATCTTCATTTTTTAATCTTTGGTTACACAGCATTTAGTAAGGTAAAGCAGACTGGATTTACATGATGTATATTTCCTAAAACTAACACTTCTTATCTTTTTGATATTACATTAAATAAAAATCACCCACACTGTTTTACACCTAATCCAATGCAGCAGTGTCAGTTGTAACATTTTACCAATTGAAACCTTCAGCACTAATATTCCAGTGGCACAAAGCAAACTGCCAACTTAGTAAAAGAGTAAACGTTCATTCTGTTTTTTCTTGGCACATATTCTAGGCAGTTTTAGTTTTTTTGTCTGAGAAACATGAGGTGGGTGCTGCGGTTGGAGGGACCTGTCAAGGCTGTCTGACACTTTTGAACTTCGGCTCTTGTAAAGAATGCAACGTTCCCGTCAGAGAAATGTTGTCCTTGAAGCGTTCAGGAAAAGAGCAAATTTTTCCGTTCTAGTAAAGTACGTAACCATCGTTACGTCTCCGTTCTGTTTTGCTTTCAGTTTCTTTATGAGATTATTCAGTGGAAGGTGGTAAACTAACCATGTCGATCTTTGCATCCAGTCAAAGTTTAACTCATTTCGCAAAGGTTGACAAGTGACTAGCAACGTCTCCCCTGTGGGTGACCTTCCAGGTCATTACTTGGCTAAAAGATCAACAAATAAAATGTTAATAAATAATTTCCATGTATGACAACAAAAACAACACAGTTTAACCAATTATCAATTCTGTATCTGGCAAGTTTGCTCTGAGGGAAAGCCACCAATGACTGATCCAGTGAAACCCCCTTTGATTCACAGATTTTTCTGTGGAACGTAATTAAGAATTTGCAGAAATGATTTTGTTGATCTTCTCTGAAATATTGCAAAGCAGTCAGTCCAGGAGCACCATTCGTTTTCTATGGTGCTGATTGGTTGTGCCCCACAAGAACACAGACTAAGATATTCATTTTTGCTGTAGTGCTAAGGTGGTTTCCACTCGCCACATTAATGCATATTTGGCGTTTGAACTAACAAAATGGGCAGTTTTAAGCATTTTTAAAGTTGGTCTCTAGTATTCACGGGAAGCTGTGGTCGCCTTCCCCACACTTGGGTTCCATTGGTTATATTGATAACTTTTGTCTGTCGTCTTTGCCCAGGGTTTAGGGCAGCTGAAGTCAAACAGAACCCTCCTGACTCCTGCCCAAATTATATTACTGAGTTAAACAATCGGAAAAGCTGAAGCGATCAGAAAAACTGAATCTGATGAATTACATCTTGAAGGCGAAATTTCCCTTCATATTTGACTTCTTATATGCTGGGAGAGCAAATGAAAGATTAACAAGTTTAGGAGATATGTTAATATTTAATGGCGAGTAAAAGAGCAATTACTGAGAAACAACAGAAAACATAGACTGGGCAGACTGGGTTGAAGAAATGCTGAACATGAATATATTGAAAAAGTTGACTTTTTTCTGTCAGATTAGAATCTGCCAAATTCAAGAAAGTCTGGAAAAAGCACATAGGCCAAGCATCTCCACCAAATTGTGACTTTGTCAACTAGTAGTTTTATACTTTGAAGCCCTTTGTTAGCGCTACAGACTGTAACGCTAACAAAGCGTTAATACTTGCTAACTAAAGAAAATAGTCAGCACGTATACTTAGGCATGTCACAATCATCAATAAATCAATTCATCACATCATAAATTAAAACAAATTCAATTTCTATTTGTATGATTCATTGTTTCTCTTTTCTTCCTCTCTTTCTACCAAAAGCTAGACGTTAGAAGCCTTAAGTTTGGTGCTTTGGTCTCAAATAGCCCTTTTTTTTATTTTAAGATTTTTCACGACAAAGACTTCAAAATTCATTTTATTTGATATTTCATTTATTTAACTTCCGGTTCCAGAGATAAATATTAATTAGAATTTAGAATATATTGATCCTTGAGAATGTGTTCTTGCATTATTATGCCGTTATTACTATACTTGAAAATGGTCCCAAAACAACAATATTATCATTATCAATATTATCAATTTGTTAACGCAATAACTTCTGGAACAATTTACCGTCCAGCAAAATTTGTTATCATGACAACAAATCTTGTATAAAAGTCCGGGCTTATTGTTTTGTTTTTTTTTTTCCAGAGGAAATTTTACAGTTTCATTTGTGAATATACAAAACTAATAAAAAACTGATTATTTAATTAAGAGTCTGACTAAACACAGAACCCAACTTAGCTTTGTTTCTTGTGGAACATTATTCAGATTTGGTTGTTTGTACATCCAGCAATGTATTGGTCTGCTTTTATTTCTTATAAAAGGCTCATTTTCTCCAGAATAGTGTTTTTGTTACATCTGAGTTTGAATAGTACTCTGAGGTGTAAAGCAAATAAGTAGTTCAATGGATATGATTTACTGCAATGCAACTGGGAGTCTGATATTGTGCTAATTCACCTGAAAAGAGACGACCTGAATAAAGAACCAACATAATGACTACATATTGAAATACTGATTGCTGACTATAAACAATAGAATCCATTAATATGGCTAAAACGAAACACACTTTATTTTATTCTAGTTTTTATATACTTCTCAGATGTGCATAATGATGAATACAATACGAATGTCAAGGAAACTACCGAATAAATGTGACCAGTTATTGCCCACCTCTGTCTCCAAAGCAATGTTAATCCGATGCCCACACCTTCAACACACACAGTGCTATCGGTTGTAAAGTTAAATGAAGTAAATACAGCAGCCATGGTGCTCCTGAGCTGGTGTTTCTTAGCAGACGTAAAGTCTCTCAAGCATGCAACACTCATGCACTCAAGCAATGAGATTCTCTGCAGAAGACATTCATTCATTCATTCATTACGCCCGGTGTCACAAAACGCCATCTCGGATTTCTACTTTTGATTTCAACAGATTTGTGTTAGTAGACTACACGCCCATCACCCTACTATCGCCCTACGGATCTAAAAGAAAAGCAGTGCTGCTTAGCGTCCCATAAAGCCATTGCAACTGTGAATGAGCGAGACATGCAACCTCATTTAGCTTGGACGCATCTCGCAAAATTAGAAAATAAACTGCGTTAAATTTGAACTCTTAAGCATGATCTGAAACAAAGTCACGGGACGGGAGTGTGTGTGTGTGTGTGTGTGTCTGTGTGTGTGTGTGTGTGTGTGTGTGTTAGTGTGCTTGCTCGAAAAGTATTCCTCAGCTCTCCGTTGTTGTGTTGTGGCTTTACTCACCCATTCTAAGACACGAATAAATCCGAGAGGTTCTTTCAGTGGTCCCAGGTCCAGAGAGAACCCAGACGCCAAACTCTGCTCGACAAAGTCCGGAACAGAAAAGAACTAAATTAGTTGAGTGCACAAGAATAACACGGTTTGTTACGCCATTCTGCCAGCTACTGTTTGTGGAATTGAAACAACGAGCTCTATCTGTATAAAGTTAGCTAACCCAATGTTAGTGAGATGCTAACGCTACTCCACTGCTAAAACTTACCCACCTGAACAGACGCCATAGGGACGGTTAGGAGCAAAATGTCGTCTAGTAAATTTTAATAGTGTCACTTAAGCTACTTAGCAAACTTTGAGCAACTTTCTGAGTATTCGAACCGACATACGATGCAACAGCAAGCTACTGTCAAACCCCACTCAGCCAGCCAACGGCTGTCAAACCCACCACAATAAAATCTACACAAGTTCCGGTTTTTTTTTTTTTTTTGGCTCCGCTCCTTTTCCTTTTACCGTTGCATTTTCCCAGCAAGAAGTGACGGCCAGTGGAAAAAGAAGCAGGATACGCGGGCTGTTTTTTGTTTTGTTTTTTGTTTGTTTTTGCCACTGAACATTAGTATCATCTTTATACAACTCTAATCCGTCCGAGCGTTTCTACAATCTTGTTATTTGTTCGTAATATTTGTGTTATTTCAGTTCTACCAGAATTTTCACATAACTTTTTTTTGGTCTTTTGTCCTCTTTGAAAACGTAATTGTAAAATAGTAAATCTGGTGTCATAGCCAGTTTATCGGAGCTCAAACGAAACACTTTTTTTAACTCTTATTTGACGAATTTCTTGGATGGCTACTTTTTACTTTTACTTTAGTGAAAAACGTGCTTAAGTAGAACCCTAACTTGGGGACTATTTCTGGACACTCTACCCCTTCTGGAAAAAACCAGAGTAGCTGTTGTGTAATTTGAGTGTCAAAGCCAAAAAAAAAAAAAAAAAAAAAGACCCAACCTTTTAAAATAACAAAACCATTCAAACTAACAACTCGAAATATAAGATAATTTTTCCCACAGAATTAAACATTTTCTGTTTAAGTTATTATGTTTTAAACTTTGCTTAAATATTTCGGAGTTGCACAGAGCACCATTTACAGTAGTTAAATATCTGAGATTCCCTCGTTGCATGAACGCAACATTTGAGCAGAGCCTGCAGCCGCCATTTTGATTTTGTCTCCGTACATCTTCGGACCTGAGCGACCCGGGACCACATCTCTCGTGTTTCAAAACTTTTAAAAATATCGTTTTTCTTAAAAAGCAACTGGTAATTAACATCATACATCGTGTTTATATGCTTACTATTGTTATTTGGAAAACGTTGAAGCGGGAGAGTACATTCTCCGGTAATTACGACATAAAGAGCCATCTTAGCATTTTAGCTCAGGCGAAGGTCTCGGCCTGTGTTATGTAGCATGTGCTAAAATAAGTTCTGTCGTACAAACCCGTGAGAAGTATTAAGAATAGTTCGTTATCCGTGCTTCTAGTTCTTTGCTAATATTAAAGGGTCGTGATCAGTACATACACTTATGTGATAGTCAAATTTCCATCACTACCGGGGGATCGCTCGTAGCTTGTTCCAGCTAGCTTTAAGCTATTGTACACACTTTAGAGTAAGTATGTCATCGATTTCTTCACTTTGTCTGTTTGTAAACTTTGGTTGTTTTCACCAAAGTGAGGCGGCTGTGACCCAGCTGGCCTCGCCATGTACCCAAGTGCAACTGGGCAAGGTACTGAACCAAATGTTCCCTTCCTGATGCTAATCCGGTGTGAGTAAAAATGTTGCTTTGAGAGGCAGAACGAGAAAGGCGCGATGTAAACCCGGAGAGTTTTCACGGGAAGAACACCTTGAGCTCTTCCAACATAATGAACATCTGCAGGCTGGAGTTCGTTCAGACCTGGTTTGGTTTGGTCAGTTTTAGACAACTGATCTGTATCGTGGTGATCAGAACCACAGTTAGTGGGGAAAAAAGGAGTAGCTTTTTCTATTGTCCTTCGTATCTGTTTTTTTTATCAATATCCTTAGCTCTCTTGAGAAATAAACTGATACATTAGTACAAAACGGTTTGAGGGGCAACATAATGGGAAAGGCTTCTAATTAGTGAAGATGTGAACCACAAGGCCAAACCTGTTCAGGCTGATCTACAGCGTAAAATGGAGGCTCATAAGCAGCAAATCCTACACAAAAAAAAAACATTCAACAGAGCTGCAGCTTGTTTTTAGCATCTGTACTTTGGTTTTTGTCAAATACTGCTATACCCTAGAGTCAATATCAAAGAGTGTATTTCTGCTATAAATGTACCCTTTATGTTGAAATGTTCCAGCTGTTTGTGCTGTTTCTCTCTCTCTCTTTCTCTCATATTAACCCACTTTCAGTTTGTTGCGAAGTGTTTTTGATTGATTTGTAGGTTTAGAGCCAGCCGTCTCGACCCTCTCTGGGGAGCTCTGGATGTGGATAGTTTGTACCCATCACAATCCGTAGGCAGAAGACTCCATTTCAGCGTTGTTAAGCAACAGCTGAAAATCACTAGGAGCCCAGATTTCGCTCCCATTTTTTTATATCTATATTGCCACACCGACAACAAAATGCCCCCAGGCAGAAGAAGACCCTGAAGATTTTTTTTTTTTTTTTTTTTTTGGCTACACTTCAACCCAACTTTTGCGACTTGAGTTTAAAGGTTTTTTTGTCCTTTCCATTCGTCTGGCTGATTAATTCCCCCTATATATTTCCTCGATTAGTCACTTCATTTATTCTAATTCCCCTACCCCCCAAAAAGAAAAGAAAAGAAAAAAAAAAGGACTTTTGCACCCTCTGTGGGTCCTGTTTAGCAGTCTGGCTGAGATACAGATGTCTCACATCGCTTGAGACCAGGGATCACATAGGAAGACGAGTTTTTCTGGACGACCTACCCCACTTTTCCTCTTATCTCATGGATCAAGTGTTCCTTCAGGACTCCATATAATTCCGGAGACACCGTACCAGCAGTGCACTCAAGAGGAAGGCACCAGCACAGGCACCTCAGGTAAAGTGGGGGCCAAATGTCAGTTGTAGCTGAAAGATGTCGACAGAATTGCAAACACTAAAACTTAAGTTCTGTTGAGAGATGTTCTCTGGCCTGGCTATGTTGGGGTTGTGCATCTCTATCATGTGTTTGTAACCCACATGATAACTTCCTACGATTGCAACCATCTGTTTAGTTAAACATATAGGAAGAGTAAACCAAGATTTGCTACGATTTGATTCGCCGTGATTCAATATGTTGTCTTCTAACAAATTATGATGCAATTCAGTTTAATTGAATATAATAAAAAAGCAAATTAGGATGTAAAAACGCTGAAATAAGAGCAACTGTAAAATATGACAAATTCTATGCAATTAAAATATGATAGTTATGAAACATCTGTCCTGCAGCAGACATGCTTATGGGCTGTTTAGTAACTAAATGTAAACAGGAAAATTGGTTTTCTGAATTCTAACCATTAAAAATCAAACTTTGAACAGTCTTAAGATTTTACCCCAACAGCTCATTAATGGGAAAACATGGCCAAAAACAGCTAATAATTTCAACTGTATAATAGCTCAGTTGTGGTTAAAACTTATAAAAAGAACTAAAATAATCCAAATAACAACAGAACACCTTATGACAAATCTAAATGGTCCACATTAAATTGAACCCTGGTTAGCACCATAGAACAATAAGTTGTTTCTCCATAAAAATAAATCATTAAGTTGGTCTTTATTTTGACACAGTTGCCACAGTTTTCCATCCCCCTCAAAGAGTCCTAGTCGTCTCAGACGCCATAGTAACTCTCCGTGGTCGTCATGGCAGCAGCACAAGTTCGTTGGCAAACTTTAATCTGTCATCTGAACAGATTGGATTTTTGAGTCACATTTTAAAACCAATTCACAGAGATTTCCTCTGATGTCCCTTTAAGTCACCGTGTAAACTCTGGCAGGCGGATTGCTTCTGGGTTCATTATGTGACTCTGGTCTGATGCATAATGGGAATCGAAGTAATGAGGAAGCCATTTTTCTTTTTTTATCCTTTGTGATTTCAGGGAGAGTCTCGATCGTTTCAGAAGGGAACCAGCTGCTGGGTCACTGCCGCCTCTTAAGCCTCGTCACGTATTACTATGACCAACCATGGAGACGACTGCTACTTCTTCTACTACTCCACCTGCACTAAAGTAAGACCAGAGACCTCTGATGCATTCTGCACTTTCATTCTTTGTTTTGAAGCTGACTTGCAATAAGAGCAGAGAAAGTGAGCTTTGTTTCTTTCACTGAACAGGGTGACAGCTGTCCATTCCGACACTGTGAGGCTGCCATGGGCAACGAGACTGTCTGCAACCTGTGGCAGGAAGGACGCTGCTTCCGTACCGTCTGCAAGTTTCGCCACATGGAGATCACAGTAAGCCTGGTTTAGCCATCCCTGTTTTTTCATTGTTTTAAAGGAGCTAGGTTACTATCTGTTTACTGACTTTGAATTAGTGCTGGAAGCCAATGAAGAGTTTTAATCAAGCTAACTAATAATTTAATTGCATTTTAATAGAAAACTACATATCAATGACATGAACACTTATTGAATCAAAAGATGAGCTTAAGAACAAAGATGTTTATTGTGTATTCATCCATCTGATTGAAGCTGAGTGATATTCTAGGCAGTCAGTGTTTCAGGAACTCCTGGTCGTTCATGGATCTTCTTTAGAAATGTGGATGTGGACGCTGGCATTAGCACTGGGGACGTCTGTGGTGCTGCTACATGTTTAACACTGAGATACTACTTTAGGCTCCAATAGCTTCACCAGTAGCAGGGTTTTCCTCTATTGGAAACCCTGCACCAGGATTAGCGTTGTTAATTCATCTTAGATTTTTCTGGTAAATTATTGCCTTTTTTTAAGAGTTTGTAGTTGGTGTTTAGGTATTGGTCTTCCAGATTTTGAAAAATGCATAACTATCAAGTAATATTTTCAAATTAACAAAGGTTATTGTCTGTTATTTAGGTTCTTGAACCATCAGACTAATGTTGCGGTTGTCGCTTGTGCGTCAGATTTACAGGCCTACCAAAATCATGTGTCAAAATAAAAGTGATTAATTGCGTCAGAATCTCTGTAGTGAATAAATGGAAATGAAGGTGTTGAAGCCACGGCAAAACTAGGGAGGAAAGAGAACCCGCTTCCTGTGAAACCCGTGCACAGGAAACGGCAGTGTAGGAAACATTACTTCCTTCTCTCCAGCTGGAGTCGGATCGTATGTTTGGTTTCAGACTCCAGGTTTTTCTACAACACAGATTCAGGGTTATTGGCTTCAGTAGTTTGGATTATATTAGAAGAAATGTTAAAGTAACCCCAAACGAAGATCTCATCTGCTGACAGTGCCGCGTGTGTTTGTGTTTGATCCAAAACAGAAAAACAGGAAGGAAATTCCCTGTTACTGGGAGAACCAGCCTGCTGGCTGCCAGAAACCACACTGTGCCTTCTTCCATGAGAGGCCCCGCTATATAGAGGGCGTCTTTGTCCATCCTGATAAAGGTAAGCTAGAACTTCTTCCCATCAATATGATCTAAAGAAACATAATGCTCTTTAAGTTGACGGCTGTTGTTTTTCCAGTTCTGACCAAAATCGAGGAGCCGCCGCATGAGGAGCCGGCGCCACCGCCAGCTGCCGCTCCGCCCAATGCAGCCAACCCTCAGCTCAGAGGGGTCATCAAGACGGACACACAGGAACCGGTACCAAGCCCCACACATCCACCCGTGGTGATAAATCCAGCAGATGATGACGAGGATGAAGAAGGTGAGCCTCAGCTGTCTTAAGTTCAGTTCAAAATAACATCTGATGTGATATCATGATGCGTTAATTTCCACACATAAGTCGCTCTGGAGTATAAGTCTCACCCCTGGCCAAACTGAAATAAACTGTGACTTACAGTCCGGAAAATACGGTACCTTCTCTTTGTTTTGTATTTACTGTCTGTGTTATTTGCATTTATAGACAACATTTGTGTAGTGAAGTCATTTTAACCTTGTTTTTGTATCATTGGCTAAATTTGTCACATTTACAGAAATGTTAACCAACTTGTACTGTTCCTACCAAAGAAATTAAAATAAATTGATTCCAACACCGCATATACAAAGACAAGGTACAAAAACGTCCTGTTGGATGGGAAAGGATTGACGAGTATTACGGTTCAGAATATCCTGACTTGGTTTTTCATTCTTTAGGTTTTGAAAAGTAACATCCATGCAGGGTTTTAGCAAGCACAATCTAAAGAATTTTATCAACAGCAATCATGTGACTTCCTGTGATGATGGAGCCACAGTAACAGTGGTGGATTTCTTGTTCAATAATTCGAGAACCTCCTGCTGTTTTGAAGACCAGTTAAAAATGTCAGAAAGACAAAAAAACAACTGCTTTAAACGTAGCTCTGAAAATGCATGTTTCAGAAGGTTTTTTTTAAAATAGAATAATTGCAATAAATTTCCAACATTAATTTTTTCTCATGATTATATTGGAAACTGTGTGTTTCTTCTGCAACAATCCACAAACACCAACATCTCAAAGAATATATATATATATATATATATATATATATATATATATATATATATATATATATATATATATATATATATATATATATATATACAACCTCTATGATGGATATTTTTTCTTCAAAATAAAACTTATCAATAAAAATTTAATTGATGTTTCTTTAAGTCTGATCACAAATTTCCTGTAAATATTTTAAAAAAGTTGTGACTCCCAAACTTGTGTGAAATTAGTGCTTCTAGACTCAGTTCAGAGTTTAATTGGCCAGAAATGACAGCAAAAACGTCTGGGTAGAATATGTCACAGAGGCCTGACAATCGGCAGTACGTGACTCTTCGGAAGAGTTTCCATAAACATCAGTCCATTTAGGTCCATTTCACCTTCTGGATGACTGAACACAGCCTGGACTGACTGGTTGGACTGACTGGATGACTGGTTTTGTTTGGACATCCTCTCTGTTGTTAAACCAGTCCTGCAGACTGGTTCTATATTTGTTCTGTTTGGCAAATAGAGAATCAGTTTATTCTTACGTAGCATAAAATAGTGGTTTGTTTTGTTTTGAACTAACATCATCATCTTTAACTACTCTATTAATCTCTTTTAACTCCTGTGTTGTCATGCTAGTGGGTCAACGGTGACCCACTATGTATGTATTAGAGACAGAAACTGTCTCTAATACATACACACACCTACACACCCGCATATTCACCCACACACATACATCAAATAAACTGGATTGATGTATGAATTGAACTCGTATTTGACCTGCACCTGCAGCTGATCCCTCACATCACACAAGCTCCCAAACACAACAACAAAAACAATCTCAGATATGATAAAAACAATTTCAGTATAAAAAGGTGCCCTAAATCAGCAGTCGTTACTTCACATTTATATAATTACAATGATAAATCTTTACTGTGTAAAAGAAAACTTATGACAGTTTGTTTGTTGTAAAAAGAAAAGTGTAATACTGTTGATCTTCTTTCTGTGTTGTGTAACAAAAAATACATGATAAAAAGAGTGAAATTGAGTCGAATTGATAAATAACAGATTGTTTCATCATGCAAAAATAGATTTTGGATTTCAAAATGTAAGTAAGCCGCTTAAGTTTGGGGCTTTTGTTAGGGTGGGTCATGTTTGACCCGTAGGACAAGAGGAGTAAACAGAATGTCAAGATCTCACGAGGGTTAAACAATGTCTTCCTGCTTCGATTCTGACCACTCTGCTTTTTGTGTTTCAGACCAGTTCTCGGAGGAGGGAGAGGATGGCAAGGTCGGTCCTTCACCTAGGAAGATGGCTAAATCAGGTGAGACCAAGCTCTACAGCTCTCACCCAATGGCTGAAGGCCCGGGAAAGGTCATGAGGGTCGTGTTTTGTCCAGGAGAGTCGCTGAACTTTGGCGTGAGCACCTTGGAGGAGATCCGGCTCAGGAAGGCCCTGAAGTCCAGCATGAGGAGGGCAGGTTACCCGCTCCAGAGCGCCAACACCTCCACCAACGGAGAGACGGAGAACTGCCTGGCATCGCACCGGCCCGCCCACTCACAATTTGGAGGTGAGTCAGCTTTTACCCTGGAACCATCAGCAGCTACTTCAGCCTCGGATAATTCAGGCCTCAGAAATCAGAAAAAAAAGTTCTATGTTTCAGAAGTTTCACCATTTACATATCACTGTAAATTCCAAGCAACAGCAGGGAGAGTGATTTTCTACTGTGTGTTTAATATCAGACGCTGTTTGTGAAGAGCCTGAGCGACCCAGAGGCAGCGTGGCTGAACGGCTCGGGCGAAGGGTGCCCCCTGCAGGTGGGTTTGGATCTCCTGCTGCTGTTGCTGCTGATGCTTCCTGTTTCACATGGTGCTGGTTCCATTCTGAAGCTCCTGGTTTGGTTCTGCTTCAGATTTTCAGAGTGGGGGTCAGATTACAATAAAGAAGAGTCTGGCTGAGCGTTTGGGCAGAATTGTTGATGAAGACCAGCCGCCGGTCAACACTCAGAAAGGTGAGCGGGGAAACGCACTGGTTGAGGTGTCTGAAAAAGTTCTGTTTGTCATGTGTTTTAAAGCTCAGACATGTTTTTTGCTGGTTTCAGCTTATTCATGTTGCCTCCAGTAATCACTACCAGCATCATTTAATTCTTTGTACAATATTTTGAGGAAGTTGCACCTGCATACAAAAGGAGCAGTCAGAAGTCAAGCTAAAAACAAGGAAGCAGTCTGTGCTTCCTTACTGCAAATCCTGCTGATTCAGTCAGATTACTAATATTCTTCCTGTGGCATCATGTCACACAAGTTGAGGTCAGATCAACAAACGCTTTTTTTCTTCTCTTCTTCAGCCTTTAAGCCGATCAAAGAAAGACTTGGGCTGGTTCCTCCAATCAGAGGTGCTCATGCAGGTGAGAGCGCTGGCTAGAGGCAGCACTTCTCTTCTTACTCATGTTAGAAGTTACAAACCCTTCCCATGTTTCTCCAGCTGAAGCCCACCCAGTGTCTACCAAAGCTCCCGATCGGATCCGCATCAAAACTCTAGACGAGATCAGACAGGCCAAAGCGGCCAAGGCTGGCAGCCAGAAGGATGCTCCTGCAGCTGACGCAGCGGAAACCACCAAAGCAGATCTGGTCAGGGCCGCCAAGGCGACCAAGAGATCCATCACTCTAACAGACGCCCCCATCGGCCACGTTAAAACCTTCTCTGAGGTCATTCGAGAGAAGAAGATGAAGCAGGAGGAAGAACAGAACCAGAACCCTAACCTGATGAAGGCAGAGCACCCGGAGGAGAAGGCTCCAGCCAAGGGCCCGGGGCCGACGGACGCCGCTGACGTGGAGAAGGTGAGGGTAAAGACCCTGGAGGAGATCCGCAGGGAGAAGGCAGCCAGGGTCCAGGCCCAGCAGACCACCGACAGCCCCGACTCCGAGCACAGCGCCCCAAAGAGGCCACATCTGCTGCGGGCCAAGAAGCCCCCAACCCAACGTAAGAAACACAAAGCTGATCTGACCCGCCACCGCTTAAATAGAACCTTCAGGGTAGCATTTATTACTTTATTAATCGGATAAAAGCCATTTTTATCTATTTACTGCCAAATTACGGAAGTCAGTCCCTCTATTTTTTGTGGAATTTCACAGAAATTCACACAATCAGTAACATGTTTGAAAAAATGAACTTTTAGGAGTATTTTTCGTATGCTGTACGTTTTACTTTTACCTTAGTTATTTTATTATGAGTATTTGAGTAAGATTTCTGAATTCCTCATTCACTGAATGAAGATCAAACATGTTCCAGCTGATTTTGTCACGTCTTCTCCTGTGTGATAGAAAGCAACATGGCAGCTGAAAGGAGCGCTGAAGCAGCAGAGAGGCCAGCGAAAGCTGCAGCAGCTCCTGCTCAGGTATGTCTTGTCCTTCAGCGCCTTCATCTGATTGGCTGCTGCTCTGACAGGCGTGAAGTAACGGAAACGTCCCGTCTGTGCAGGCCTCCGCCATCAAGGTGAAGACGTTTGAGGAGATCATGCAGGAGAAACGCCTCCGCAGACAGGAGCAGGAGGGGCAGGCCAAAAGCCCCGCCGAGGCCGATTCGTCTCAGAAGCAGAGCGCCAGCAGCGCCCTCAAGAAGAAGACCCCTGCCACGACCCATCAGGCCCCGGCGGCAGAGCCACCGCCGCCTTCTAAAGTCTCATTTCGGAAACTCGTCTCCCTAAAACCGCGAGCACCATCGCCTCCGAAGAGGACGGCTTCTCCTGGTCCCGAAACCGCTGCCATGGCAGCGCCGCTCTCAGCCTCACCAAAGCAGAGCTCCACAGACTTCCTGGACAAAACATCGAGAGGCACAGTCTCTCAGCCGTCTGCACAGACGACGAGGGAGTCAAGTCAGCCTGCAGAACTCCCGGCAGACTCTAATCAGACCAAAACCTTGGAGCATCCAGGCAGCTGCAAAGGTGAGACGAGAAAGAACTGGACTTGCTCTGTTTGGTTTGAGCAAGTGTGACCTGGAGGGATCAGGTCTGAGTTTAATCCAGATCCTCTAAATTTAGATTAAACTATTCAAAACTGCTGGGGTGAGGCGAGAAACAAAAAACAGACGAATATGTTTCCTATCCTGGTCCGTCACCGATGGTTTTACAGAGGAATCATTAACGTGATCAGACATGCATGACAAATATTCATATATAGTGTGCACAATTATTAGGCAGGTCTTATTTTTGTCTGAGGATCATGTTTATTAATCTGCAGCTGCGGTCCAGTCAGATGATCTGAAATTTTAATGAACTTCAAACATGGATGTGTACATTACAAAAACACAAAGTCTTAGCAAATATGTTTGTTTAGTTCCTCCTGCAGATATCTTAGTATACCTGAAATGAGACAGAACTAACTTAGAAGTAACTTTTCAGTAAGATTTAATGTTGTTTCCAATTCCATAATATTGATGGACAATTTCTACTTCCATTTGATGATTATTTTATTTTTAACAAAACATTGTTAAAAATGTCACAACGTGATGAGTAAAATAATCTGCCATGGAGCTAGTACAAACAATGTTAAGGAATCATTTACTTGCTGGTTGCAGTCTGAACACTACCATGAGAAGCACTTCTATTTCCATCCCTTAATGTGTGTGTGTTTTTTGCTTTGTTTGTTTTTCATTTTGTTTCAGTGAGGCCTAAGCTGAATGTGAAGCCATCAGTGGTGAAGCCTGCAGGGCAGGTGAAGCCGCCTCCGAAGAAGAGAGGAGTGGACGGTTCCGCTGTTGCAGCTGTGAAACCCATGAACAGCTCCACCACTGCTCAGCAGGTAGATTGCTCCCGCTTAAGGCTGAATTATGCATAATTCACGATAATACCGGTGGGGAAAAAAAATTCTAATACATTTTATCGGGACATGCTAATGACATTAAAGAGAAATCAAAACAGTCATTGATTCATCAGAAATGTCCGTGATAGATCACTGTCTTTAACGATGTGATTATATCTGAATGTTCCTGTGTTTAGAATAGTTGTTGTTATCTCAAATCAGCCATTTTACCATTGAATTCACTCACATTCTTCTAATTTTCCCCTTCCAGTCTTCAAGCAAAGAGGTCCAGCTGACGTCTGCTGTGCCGCCCACCCCCAGCACCCAGAGGGATGAGCTTCAGACAGTTCCTGTCTTCAACCAGATTCAGGGTCAAGACCTCAAGGCAGGCGCCAGTGGAGATGCAGTCAGAGACACCTGGCCGGTCCCACAAAGGTAAGTTCACACCAAGGCTGCTTTCACACCAGAACTGTTTAGTCCAACTCCATTCCATCGGTCTGGAAAATCTGGTTTGTTTGTTGCGTAATCAAATTTTGAAAAAAAGTGAACTCTGGTTTGCCTATGGTTCTGTTAAAGTGAACTCTATTGTGGTTAGAATGCACATGTGAACACAAAGACCACATGTGAACAAAATAGAGCAAACGTTGCAATTTTGGTCACCAATTGAAGCGAGTGCTGGACTGTCAGATGTGCAAACACACTCACTCTTCAGTGAAAGACGTCAGATTGATACTTCATGAGCATGAACAAGGCCGCCTCCCTTCTTTCATTTCAGTCCCGTCCTCAGAAGTCCCACCCAGTCCAGGGCACGCAGATCCAGTGCGACGGCATCCCGCCCCGCCTCCACCTCCAACCTTGACGCCTCCGGCTCCACGGTGGACGACTTCGAGGATCTGATCAACCAGTTCACTGACGATCACCTGGAGGGTGACATGGATCCGGCCATCGGGGAGGACGACCTGCTGCAGGAGCTGTCAGAAATGATCGACAGCTGAGAGACAACCGGCGAGTCGGAGATGCGTTGTAAAGAATTCAGCTCATTTCAAGTATTACCTTCACGTTTGTCACGTTTGAGACGACGTCTCTCGCACGCCATTCTGTCGGATGCTCTGCCTTGTGAAAATCTGTGGGAATACTCTCAACTTCTTTGCGTCTGACAAGTTCCAGAAGAAAGAAAAGAAAAAGTGTGTTTGTAGGAGCTGCAGTTTGTCAGGAATTGATGGAGGAAAGCAATGTTTTAGCCGGTGAGCCTTATCTGTATACTGTGTATGCAGGCTGGATATAGAACTAATGAACATAGGGGCAGTTCTCCTGGTATCTGTGTTTTTCTGTTGTGTATGTCTCTGTGGATTCCTCCACTTCCTGTATTATGAGTTACACATCTGCCCAGGTTCCCTGTGATCAGAGTTAGCATGCCAGTGGAATCCCTCCTGCCGTTTGTCACGGGTGGATTTGATCATGTTGGACTGAGACGTCTCGTCCTGAACACTTAGAAAAACCCGATCCTCGCTGAGATCCTCAGCACTCTGTATACTTTAATAATGAATACCTCAGGGAGTCTTTGTGGTGTTTCTATGTTCTGTAGAAGAAAGCATTTCTATTTCTTTTTGTCCTCTGTTTTTTTGTTTTTTTTAATGTTGATGAATTCTGGTAGATATACTGGTTTTACGATCCTTCTGTGTGATTGCTCCTCCATGACGCTTTGTCATGATCTTAAAATCATCCATGTAAATAAAAAATACTTTTAATGACAAGTTGGAGCATTACTGGTTTGGAATCAGTTTATTTAAAATTCACTGTGGTCACCTTGGCACTATGTGCCTATGTTGATAGATTTCCAACTTTATTTTGTTTCCTCAATAAAAGATTGGAAAGAAATGTGGAATTTGAACTTCATGTTTACCAAGTTGGTCAACACATTTTCTCTATGGTTTCTCCCATCTTCCAAAAATGTAAAAAAATTCTCATGAAATGGATACGTTTTAAAAAAAAATGACAGTCTTCAAAAACATGTATTTCAATAATTACTGATGACTAGTGTAAAAATGTCCTTTCTTTGATAATCCTAACTGCTAACTGGAGGCTTTACCAGGACAACTACAGATTTGAAAGTCTAAACATGAAATTTACAGAAGCAGTGCAGTTTAGTAGAAATAGAAATGCCAAAGAAATGAATATAAAAGGAATGCAAGAAGAAAAATTATATTGAAACATTTTGATACCTTCCTAAAATATTGTTTGCCAGAAGTGTTTTTTTTTTCTTATGCAAAACATTTTAGAAAGAGTAGTGTTTTTTTTCTTCCCCCTTTTATTTTAATATAATTTTGTGCTTTTCTTGTCTTAACACTAATAGATTTTTTTAGGAGTCGAAAATAGTAATGAAACCATGGAACTGCATGAACCCATCAGAATTTTTTCTTTTTTCTTTTTTTTTTGCCAAGGACGCTGGCATTACAGAAAAGTTATTTCTTATATCGAAGGATCACAACAAATAAAACATCAGTTGCGACAACCAGTTGCAGAAAATAATCCAAAAACTCTCACTTCATTATTACTGAAATATCTGTTACACACTAAAACAAATCTTAAAGATTATCCAGAGGAAAAAGTAATAATTTCAAAAATGTAGTTGATTGAAGTATCTGAAAACCATAAAACACCACTTCTACGATAAAATATCAACAAATGTACTGCTAATAAAAATACATAAGTATTGTACTGTATTTTAATATGTGTCTGAGTAAAAACAAACGAAGAAAAACACGAAGACGCCTCACCGCAAGATGGCGCCACGACGCTAGTTTTGCAGCTTACTGAGGACAAGCCGAAGCCGCAGGCCTGTTTGTGCTTCCGGTACAAGCAGACCGGGCGGTAGCAGATGGACGCTGTCAAAAATATGAGTAACCTGGACCGGCTAAGCGTGTTCCTCAACGACAGGCTGACCGCAGCCGCGGCGGAGATCCTCGGGGCCGTGAAAGATGCGGTGGCCGAGTACCAGAGCGAGCTGCTGCGCTCCAGAGAGGAGAACGAGCGTCTCCAGAGGCTCCTGAACGCAGCCGTCCAGCGGCTGCTGCTGCAGCAGTCAGGTGAAGAGCGGTGGAGATTCCTGCTGCAGAGCTTTTCTGTCTCTGCGGTGGTGATTTAATTCAGTTTGGGAAGAGCCAGCAGAGTGGAATCTGATTCTGTACCCAACCACTCTCTCCTCTGTTGTGTCTGCTAAATTCAGTTTGCTTGAAAACCCTCATGATGATTAGAAGCAGTGGAGGAGCTAGACTTTTAAAGTTGGGAGGGGGCATAGCCACATATACATACATACACACACACATATATATATAATGAGTTTGCAGTACACAGAGAATGTGTGATCAAGTTGTGTTGATCTTATTGTAGTTTCAATAGAGGAGTAACAGCTGACTGTTGAGGGAAATTACAGTGCAGAACAGATGTCCGTCAGACAGAAACAAGCGCGGTGCGTTGGACAATGATTGCGCATCAATGCTCCACCTTTACGCTCCAATTAGTCACACGTCAGATGACCAACGACAAATATACAACATGCAGTTACTCTGCTTACGCCAATGGTGGCCTAAAGGGGTAACCAGTAAAAACTTAACTGAAGTAATATGTCGGATTCCCTCCTCACTGTCATCATGCTGGTTTCCTACCCAGACTGTGATGACGGCCAGCTGACCACCCGGTGTGCAGACAGTTTTAACGATAGCTATTGTTATAATGATGTTACAGATGTTATGATACATCTGTCAGAGTATCATCTCTGATCTGGACGCTTTTAGTTTTAGTTTAGGCCAGTGGATCCTCTTCAGTGGGGTTTTTCTCCCGCCGAGGGGAGTGAGTGCAGAATCACCGTTTTCTCTTCTAATCACTTCATTTGGTGAAATGTTACCTGATTTTAAAAAAGTTCTCACTATATAGAAAAAGCTAAATGTTCAGATTGATGACTGCAGAATGCAATTTTTTTTTCTTTGATGGACAACAGAAAAAATCTAGTGCAACCTCTGCTCCAAACTACAAACATTGTTGCCCCCCTTCCCCTTCTTCAGTTTTTTTTTATTTTTTTACCAATAAGTAAAACACTTTTTGGTAAAACATGAACTTACTTATTAAACCACTTATTAAATAAGTGGTTTAGCCTCCAACCACACTTTGAGGCTAAACCACTCAAAGTGTGGTTTGGGCTTTGAGTGGCACCACAGTGCAGAACAAGAGAAACGTCCAGCAGAGCTTGCTTTTATGAATACAAGTATAATGGAGGCTGGCATCGTGCCTGATATAAATCTATTTATATATATCATCGTCTCATGATATAAAGTTTTATAAATTTTCTTTTTATTTTATTTATTATTCTTTTTCTTCTTTGGATATTAGGTTGGCTTACAATAATTCCAAATAATGTATAGGAATGACCTGGTGTAGTTACATGTCAATCATGAGTTATATTAGGCTCCATAACTTTCTTTTAATTGAAAATGTCACTTTTAATCTTTTTTAAGAATCTGAATCCAGTTTTGCTGATTATAACACTCAACACTCCATATCAAACCTGTTGTGATTTTCCTTTTTGCCCAGGTCATTTCATATGAAGCTGCAGCATACACACCGTCCGGATCATTGAAAAGGTTATAGAAAACAGACAGGGCCGTGCAGAAAGCACAAGCACTTTTACATTCAGAGCCTCAAAAGGCAAAAATGAATCGCATAGAAGTAAAAAAAATGAAATGAAAACAGTCCATTATTTGTAACACACTAAAGATCTCTGTTTCTGCCAGTGTAAACAAAATGTGAAGGTTTTCTTTTGTGTTTAGGTTCTCAGACTTATTCTCACCAAGAGTGTTCTTCTGAATGGTTCCTTTTACACAAACAAGAGCCAGAGAAACTTTAACTCCTCTACTTTGGGCAAGAACCCATTCATGACCAGGAGAAGGCACTTTGACTTTTTATCTTTCTTTTCTTCTTCAGTTTTTTTTTTTTTTTTTTTTTACCAATAAGAAAAACACTTATTGGTGGTTTACTTTTTGGTAAAACATCAACTTACTTATTAAACCACTTAAGTTCTTTCTTTCTTATTAAATTCTTCTGTTAACAGCAATTCTTCTGTGTAAAAGCGTTATCTACAGTTTGTCCAACTCCTTAGATATCCTATAGTCCATCCATCTCCTCCATTGTGAGAGAAACGCATCCCTCTGTTAATTCAGAGTCTGTTAGTCTCTCCATCCTGTAAACGTCCATTACAGTGTGTATCCACATGCTAGAAGTTACCTGGGTTTTAACTTAGAAGCTATTTCCTCTCCGTGGCATTCTTGCTTGCTACCAATAAAATGCCAAAGAAACATTGATTCCGTTTAGGTCGAGGTCTGAAGAAACCTTTCCCCCGAAAAACAAACATCAAAATAAGCCTACTTTCTAGAGAAACACGATTTCCAGATATTTGTGACTCGTGTTTCATAGGGCTTGGTGATATGGATTTATACATTTTTATAATCTTTTTGTTTTACTATTTTTATAACAATAAAAGTGATGATCAGAACTGTTTATTACATTTTTAGGCCTGAGTACAGCAATCATCAACCCACAAGCTCAAGTACTGTTCTTAAAAAAACATCCATTTTCTGTGGGGACACCGGCTGTTTGAATAAGTTTGATATGTATCACTAAACTGCTCACAATAACTGTATTTAATCTAATTTTTGAATGTATTGATATGTATTGATACAATCATTGAACAATGGTGAAACGATCCCAACAATAGATCGGGGTGTTTTTTCAAACGTTTGGAATTGGAATTTATCATGACAGAAATTTTTACAATGTCCAAAATGGTACACTGAAAGCCTTTTGCTAAGTGTATGGGACTTTACAGTTATTTACTTAGGAACTCATCAAAAAGACATTCTTTATTTTTCTTTGCCTCCCTCTGGCATTTATTTCTAAATCTCCTCACAATGTCTCATGTTCCTTGCGCCACTTAACTAGATTTGGAGTTAGTCTGATTTGCCACAGTTGTGTTGGACAGCAGATTCACCATTGGAAGCACAAGCTAAAGTAGGATCCATTCCGACCCAAGATTCAAGGCTCTGGGTAACAAGGTTAAGGTTTAGCTCCACTTCAGGTGTAGGTTTCCCTCAGAATAGGGACTTGACAATCTGTTTTGGAGTAACCTTGGTATGATGTGATGGTTTTGATCTTTCAGAGCCTCTCACCGTCTGTCTCCAAGAGGAAAGTCAACTCTGTGAACCCGATGGGAGGAGCAACTTGGAGATCGTTCCTCAAGTCAAAGAAGAATCAACAGTTAGAAAGATACAAAGTAGTTTTACACATGAGGAAGCTGGGCAATCAGAAGGAAACTGCTGCCATATTGCGCCGCAGGAGTCATGTCCTCTGCCGGCCCCCGGTGTCTCCCCACTGCCACCGACATGTGTGGAAACAAAGACGGAAAATGCAGAGGAGGAGAACGAGAAAAAGCAGCCAACCAACAGCTTATCGTTGCCCACGACGGTCCACGTAGACTGCAGAGCGGCCGTCTCTACCGCAAAGAGTCAGAAACCTTTAAGGATGGACGTCCAGGGAAAGGGGACGCTTTATTCCAACAGCAAACAGAGCATGCACATACTGCCGATGAAGAACATGAGATCGTTGAAGCAGCCTCTGTCTCGCTCGTTTCACCCCAGCCAGAGCAACCAGAGGTGGCACTGCTGCAAAGAGTGCGGCAAGACTTTCAGCTTCGCCTGCCAGCTGGAGGTGCACATGCGCTGGCACACCAAAGAGAAGCCGTACAGCTGTGCGGTGTGCAGGAAGAGCTTCACCACGGTGAGCATGCTCAAGCGGCACCACCGCATCCACACTGGGGAGAAGCCCTTCCGATGCCACGTCTGCGGGAAATGCTTCAACCAGTCGGCACACCTCAACACCCACTACAGGCTCCACACGAGGGAGAGGGCCAGCTGGAGCCGAGCGGCACTGTGCAAGTGAACGCTCATCAGACGCCGGCTCACTTGTATGATTAAAAATGATTTCATTTGCCAGAGTGCCCATTCAATCCCTCTAAGTCAGTGTTTCTCAATTCCTGTCCCCAGGCAAGCCCTGTTCTGCAACGGTTGTGGTGTTTCTCTTCTGCTGCAGACCTGACTTGAACAAGTTGGTGCATGACCTCCTCTGATGACGTGCAGAGAAAGGTCATGCAATCAGGTGTTATGAAGCAGAGACGCATCTGAAATACACAGATCAGTGGCTCCTAAGGATTGGAATTGAGAAACACTCATCTACAGCAATAGTCTTGAATTGTATGTGTCTTTCTGTGATAAATAAAATGGCTACTAAAATCAAATTACAATTGTGGTTTCAAAGTAAATTTATCATATGCAAATGTTCGATCCATCCCTCCATGCAAACAGAAAGCAGTGCACAAGAAAAACTAGACCGCAAATAATGAAACGGGAAACTAAAGTCCCTAAGAAGAAAAACTGAAACTACAACTCTAAACAGAACTAACAAACGCGACAAGGCGCTGAAAAACACTAAACACACACAAACTCTTAAATTTGATGTAATGATTAAAAATATCAGACACGTTTCATTCAGAGCAACCCTTCCACCCTCAGTGATCCCTACCTGTTTTTTTTTCACCAGCTTTCAGCAGATTATATGACTCATATAAGAGATGCAAACTGCAATTTACATACATGTCCGCCAGAATGACCAGGTTGTTGGGACAATAAATGCTTAAGCCCTAATTTAAATGTAGGAAAATCACATTGGTGCAGAGACGCTCTATTTGCTTGATAGTAAAATTTGAGGAGCCGATGTGCCTTTGTTAGAAAAGCGTAGAAGCGCAGTCTGTAACTGCTTAAAGAATATGCTCAGGAGGGCTGCGTGGTAAGACTTCGGCCATAATCATCCATGGTGCTGTAATTCAGTCAGGAAAGATTACATTCATAAGGAAACACTTCTGACTCGACTATCATATATATATATATGCTGGAAAAAAAGATAGAATTCCATCTACTTTCTATGTCTGCTTGTCCATCCAGTCATGGGTTGTAGGGCTCATTGGCTGGGGTTGCCAGTCCAGAATGGGGCAACACAGAGACGCCTATTCTCATACCTACAGGACTTTTTAGGGCATTCAGAATTGACAAATTGGCTGAGAAAAAACTATTCAGAGCATCACGAAAAACAATTCTGAAATGCACACGTGGTCATTGCAAAGAGTTTAGATATGGTGTAATGTGAGCTCGATTTCTGGTCCTTTGCAACACTCTTGTAGCCTGAAGTAGCTGCAATAAGGATCTGAAGTTCCTTTAGGAAGGCTGGAAAAGACAAACTTTAATAATCTATTCTACAAGTTCTAAAAGCATAAACTAAAGTCTCTGGAGACGTGGAGAAAAACGGATGTCCTCAAGTAATGTTCTTCAAATGAGGAAATGCATCTGTTTTGTTGTTTTTTTTTAAATTTTACATTTTTAATGTGGTTCATGAAACTTACATTTGAATCAAGCATCATATCAGGCACTGAATTGATTCCATCAAATGAAAAATCCGGTTCTATGCGCCCCTGTGAAGGCGACCTGTCCAGGGCATATCCAGCCTTACGCTGCATGACCTCAGAGATAAATGGCCATGACGGACAGATCAAAAGACGGATCAAAAGAAAACGTCATTAGTTTAGCAACTATTTTACACTCCACTTCTAAACATAAGACTGTTTGGTGATTCCAGTAAACAGAGGGATAAAAAAAAAAAAAGCCTGGTGTGGGGGATAACCTTGGAGTCTCTGGAGCTGGATGTAGAGGAGAAGAATGCTACATTGGCTCTTCAGGATCAATAAGGTCATCAAGTGAATGTTAAGGGCTTCTTGATTGGCAGGAAGCCACTCCTTGCAACACCAGTGTCTTAACATAATGAGTATTGCAAGTACTTCTGATTGGCAAAATGTTCTGATTGCAAGACAACTACTCTTGCAGCTGTGGCTCAGTGGTACAGAGTAATAGCAATCGGAAGGTTGTGGGTTCTATTCCAACTTCCATCTGTCACGTATGAACCCATGGGCAAGACAACTTGGGATTAAATTTACTTATTTATGTCTATGTATGCGACTTGAATGTAGCTCTAAAGTAAAGTACTCCTTTACTTTAGAGTTACACATATATATATATATATATATATATATATATATATATATATATATATATATATATATATATATATATATATATATATATGTGTGTGTGTGTGTGTGTGTGTGTGTGTGTGTGTGTATGTAAATTACCTTATTAGTGTTTTGTGTTTCCTCATAAAAAAGAGTATTTGTTGACATAAAAAATTTGATTTTATTTTGAAAGGGTTTGAAACGGAAGTGTGATGCCAACGTCAGACATCAACTGATAATTAACTGCTAGTAATCGCGCAGAAAGAGAGCGCGGAGGTCGGAGTAAAAGTAATTAAGGAGAGGTTCAAATTAGGGTGTAGACAGTCAGTTGGTTGGCGCTTGGTTGATATGTAAATATATGTTTAGTTTTACTGTGAAACGTGCAGTTTGCTATTGGGTGTGACGGTTGTATTTTACCATTAGAGGGCACTAATATTCGTTAATCAACCGTTAACAGTTAATATGTTACACTTTACTTTATGACAAAGTTTAATTATAGAATATAAGAAAAAAGGATTTATATGTTAAGGTAAAATGTTAGAACAACACTGTTTGAGTTATTAATGGTATTTTATTTGTATATTTTTTAGCTCTTCACATACAAAGACATTCAATAAAACATTGTGAACCATCAGTTTGAGAGACCATCCTTTCAACCGGGAAGCTACAATATACACTGCTCAAAATAATAAAGGGAACACTCAAATTACACATCCTTGATATGAATGAATGAAATAAATATGAAAATAATTTCCACCTGTTGTCTATTCCATTTGCACAACAGCAGGTGATATTGATTGCCAATCAGTGTTGCTCTCTAAGTGGACAGTTTGATTTCACAGAAGTTTGATTTACTTGGAGTTATATTGTGTTATTTGAGTGTTGGTTCCTCTGCTAACGCTGTCAGATGATCAGGATGAAGACGTCCATCCCAAGGACCCAGGATGCCAGCCAGATGGACGACTGGGGGATTCACACGCGTCTGAAAAGACTGTTAAAACATCTAGAGGTCGTTTAGTCAATAGACCACAGAGATTTAGGCACTTAGAGAGTTAATTGAATGTTACAATTAGAGAATTTAAATAACTTATACTACTTCTTTCTAAATTTTGGCTGTATAAGCTGTACTGAAGGGACTCAGTATTCCTAAAGGGGGAGTTGTAAGGAAGGTCGCATCGCGAGATTCCTTGTTTTAAGTTCTGTTTATTCGGTTCTTGACAGCTGGTGGTTGCCTTAGCAACCGGTATCTAACAGCTGATCCGTTATGTTTTTGTTGTGTTGTTGGTTATGGCACTCACCGCTCGCTGCCCGGACATCACTAAATGCTGTCTGTGCCAAAGCTAGAGGTCAGAAGCCACATAGTTCTTCTGTGGGAACAACTCAGTTTTCATTATAATTCATCTGTGCTGGAAGGAGGAAAGTTCCTGCAAGAGACCCTTCGTTTTTGTCGTGTATCTTCAATTACCTCCTTAAGAAACCTGCAAACTACTTAGAAAATTGAATTACAAAATATTTTTTATATTCGCACAGGCTATCTTTTAGGACTATGGGAGGAAGAAGCCATGGAGAAAATGCAAACCCCAGGCAGACAGAACCCAGGTTGGGTTTCAAACCAACAAGTGTGCTCCCAACTGAGCCACTGTGCAACCTTGATGTTTCATTTGCTGAATGTATTTTTTGTTCACACCTCAGCAGAATTTAGAGAGACCAATAAGACAGACATGTTTTTAGACAGTGGGAGGAAATCGGACTGCCCGAAGAGAAACTTCAGACGTCATTTAAAATTCCAATAAAAAAACACGGAAACACAATAAAAAAAAAGCCAAGAGAGAAATATGTGAAATTAAAAGCCCAGTAAAAAACAACACAAGGAAATAACATGCATAACAAAAAAAAAAAGAAAAACAACAACTTTGGCATTATATTCTCCCAGAAAGTTTCTTCTATTTTGCTCTACATTTCAGGAGTCAAATTTTCTATCTGACTCTCTCTCATTTCTCCTCCCTCAAAATGGCCACTTGTTTTGTTTTCTGTGCTATTTTCTTTGACCAAATTTAGAGGTTCTGTCTGCTCTCCAAAACCGTCTTTATCATTTTGGAGAGGAGGGGAAGGAGAAATAGGTGTGTCGGGTTCCTCTGCTTTCGTTTGCTTCTCATAAAGATAAATAAATCCTCTTTCACACATGTCCTCTCTGCAGGATTTATCTGTAGAGAGGACGTTCTCATCTACCACCTTTACAATCTGTTGTCCTCGAATCAAATAGCTGTAGAAGTGAGCTGACTTATTGTCACCACAAATGACGGACGACAGACGGTATAACTCGGTTCCACTTTCTCCTGGAACCTCCATGATCAGTTTGGGAACTACTGAACTACTTTTGACCCAGTTTGGCAGAAACAGGACTATCACGTTGTTATCGCTCAGGCAGTTTTTTTCGAGTTAAGCCTGACCTGCAGTTGGAACAACAAGGCTGGCCAAACAAACTTACCCAGTATCTAAAAAGTGAAGCAGTGTCGTTGAGTGATTTTGTGGATGGAAGCACAACAACGGGGCCATTCGTCAGCAGCTCTAAGAAGGACGTCTCACATATAGTACAAGTGTTTTGAAAGTACATTTCCCGATCGGTGTTGCCGCCGTACGAGTCCAGCCAGACGAGCACCAATTCCACTAAACACAAGATCTTGAACTGTTTTCCCATCTCCGATGACGGTTCTCTCTCCCTGAGCTCCATTAAAACAGGGTAGATGTCCACTGGGGAAAAGTGTCGTCCTGGCTCGTGGACAGCGGTGTGAATCAGAGTGGTACAGTTCGGGATACACGAAGCCTCTTTAAACAGTTTCTTCTGCGCCAGACACTGTCTGGTGACGCTTAGATTGAGAATGCTCTGAAAACCAGCACTCATCCAGCTGTTATTGAAATGGTTTGCAAATCTGCAGATGTCTGTCTCTGTCTATCCCATTATCCTTTGTTCCTCAATTATAAACTTCCCGTCCGGGTTGGTTTGCTTCTGAGGAACAGTGCGATACAGTTTCCCACAAGTCTCAGGATGAAAAACTATCCCGGCCGGGATAGTTTTGTCTTTGGGGATCATGAAAAACCCACCATTGTTTGGGATTTCAGTGCTGTTCCTGTACGTTAAACCTGCTTCCCCGTCAGGGGTGCAGTTCAGTTTAGGATTA